AGATGAAATTTTAACTTCCTCAGATTGTCTTAACAGTAATATACTATATATATAAGTATACATACACCACAACCTCCTCCATCAATGAATAAAATAATCAATAGAATAAGAATAAAAAAAAAACAAAAAGCAAAAGCAAGAAGAAAGCTAGAGGAACCACACCCAAAAGTCCTTCATTGTCTGCCAACCATTTTTCTTTCTTCTTTTCTCTCAGCCCTTCTCTCCCCGTGCCGCTGTTGGCTGCTGATATATATTGTGTTAGGCAACCTAGGGTTCTTTATATATTCTAAACAAAAAGCCTAAATTATTATCTCTTTATATTATTTTATTTTCTTGAACCCATAATTTAATAAATATAAAACTATTAAATATAACAAAATATACCTTACTTAACTTACCCTCTATTTTTTTTTTAAATAAACAAATCTTGCCTCTAAATTAAATACTTTCACCATAAATTATTTTTAGGTTTAAAAATTAATTAAAAGACCTCCAATAATTTTAAATTTTCACTTTAGGATCAACATCAAAATATTAAGATGAAAAATTATTATTATTTAATTCTATATATTGATTTATATATTCAGGTTCTCCCAAATACTAGTTTAGTTACTTTGAAATCTTCCTATGAAGTCTCTAACCAATTCACTTCTACCCAAATTCTAAAAGATACTACCACAAGTTATAAAGCCACTCATTCACTCTAAGAAATTTTCTATGTTAACAATAGTCATCCCATAACAATTTCCAAGACTAACAAAATAACAAAAGTACTTCATACCAATTTATTCCCTGACGAGGGGTCTACCGAATAACTTCTTCTAGGGTAATATCACCACAAAACACGATAAAACAAAATTAAAATAAAGAATCATCCTCTATTAGGAAAAACTAAATACATTTTAATTAAGAAAATACTTACCACTTAAGGTCAAATACACCCAAATTAAACTCAATAATAATATTAGATCAACATACCAATAGCACAAATTCTCACCACACTTATAGCAAAACGAAGAATCAATATAAAGGGTTCACAACTCTTACATCGGGGATACAAAACAATCTTATAGCTAATGGACAAGCGATACAAAATAACTTCCATTTCAATTGCATGTCACCGTCACTGCATACGCCAAACTTAACCCAAAATGCTCACGTATACTTCTCATATTCACATTTTGTAATCCATAAGTAAGAGTAACTATAAAAATTAACATTAATCACTTGCGATGGATCAAGCACTAATTTTCATGAAAATACTCAAATCATAGTCACATCAACCATCTCAAGGCACCTAATCATAATCTCCATAGAATCCCAACATCCTCACATGATCATTTCAAAAATTTCTTTAACGACATTGGTTTGCTAACACAACTCACAAGACATCAATTACATCATATCCCTAAACACTTATTGCACTTGGGTACAATCAACAACTAACTTTGAGACAATGGACTCCACCAATCTTGAAGGCACTCGAAACTCGCCTACATGTTCTAAAATATCGACTCACGAGTCAATGTTGTTACTACTAATAATCCCATCAAATGGCGTAACCCAAATCAAATTTAATCTCATTCCAATCTATCTCAAAATTATTCATCTCATTTGCCCTCTTAGGATTTGCAACAAAATTATGAATAAAATAAACTCTCTAAGAAACACATTTCTTACTACACACTATAATTTCTATTATGCTAAGACCACGTTTATTCCCAAACACATACAAAATAATTGGCCTAGGGCCCATCACTAATCTCACAAGTAATCCATCAAGCAAGTGAAACAATCCAACTATAACTAACTTCGTCTATCCCAAGAAAATTTAGAACTAGTTTTACGTGTTCTAATGTCAACAATCCAAAGCATATTATCTTAGATTACTTTAATCATCATTAAAGCCATAACCAAACCATACTATTACAATAAGGTTAATCTCTAAATCATTCTACTTCTAAGATTTTTCTTCTAGTCCACTTCCATAAACTTGATATAAAATTGAAAAATAGTTAACTCATAACAACAAAACAGTCGCTACACAACATAAACTCTATTAGTTTAAGGTCACATTTACACCCACAATCATACAAATTGGTTAACCTACGCTTCAATACTAATTCTACAACATCTTGACCAATCATCCCGGCTATATTACTCTAGCTTACACCTTCTTCCTGGGAAAAAGGTATCCTCCTACATGAGAACATCCCGGGTACCCCAAGTGCCTCTATTACGACCTCTCCCGCTTTATGACATCTTATATAAAAGACAGAATTTAGCTCAGAAGTAAATATTCCACACTAGTTCTAACACGTTGCATACGGATTAAACATAAACCTACACATGTATCTACATCACATAAGGCAAACCATACAAGCACATAGTCACATAGAGCACATACGAGTTACCCCTCCAAGATATTGACTCGTTCCACAAACATTCAAAGACTTCCAAATAAAAATAGCATTGATTAAGTGCTTTTCTAAAAGGACCTCAAAGAATCTCATGGACGCAAATCACATCTCAGATGTTTAACCCTATACCCACATAGTCACATAAACATGTTATCACATAGCACATAAGATATGCAACATTTCCCACTAGCGAAATGAACCCACTGCGGTAAAAACCACTTCCCACGAACCCCAAATATTCAAATCCGGTAGCTCTGATACCAAATTGTAACGCTCCGAAAATTGGGCACGGTATATCTATTTATGCTATAAAACCTAATAACCATCTATTACATAATAATCATCCAAAAATATCTATTGACAACAAATACAAACATCTATTACATGATAATCATCTAAAAATATTAACAAAAACAATCACTCATTACATGATTATTATGCAAACACATACAAAAAATTAATTTGATAACAAAATAAAATAATAAAAATGTAAAAGATTTATCATTTTTATATAATTTTATCTTTGGTGAGTAGAAATAATTTTTAAAAATTCAAAAATAATTTTTTGACATTTATTTTTGTCAAACTAGCTTATATTTTATTAAAATGACGATTTTGCCTTTAAAATGAAGCAACAATATCTTCGATTGTCTTCATTTGGAATGAGATTCACAATTTATGATCAAATATATTACAATTAAAAAATTAAAGACCAAAATGATACAAACCCAAAATTACGGGGACCGTTAAAGTAATTTGCCCATAAAATTATAAAATTATTACCAATCAAACAACTCATTATTAAAATAATCAAATCTGGAGAAGCTAGTATAAGAAAAGGCTTTCTGTATACAAGTGCATTTTTAATAATAAAACAAATTATAACATGTAAATATGAAATTAATAATTATGTTTTTACGAGACTAAAGATGTATTATTAAAAATTGATAAACTAAGTAGCATGTAACTATATTGGGAGGGAAGCCAGTTCCTAAAATACTTCTATTGTTTTTGAAGAACTCGTAATCTTTGTAACTTGAGGTATTGAGTGTTTGGTCACTTCAAACTTCAATACCGCTTTTCACCACATATATAATTAATGAGTCACATACACCATGTTATTTCGTTCACGTGGCATAGCCCTTACTAAAATACTCTAATTGTTTTCGAAGTACTTGTAACCCTTGGACTTGTCTGTGTCTTCATGCCCAATGCTATATGTATTTCGAAGCGAATCTGTTTAACAACAATGAAGACAGGCTTTCCCAGGAGCCAAACAAAAAAAAATTAAGGTCTAATTTACAGCAATAATCAGAATCTATACATTTGATTCTTTCAAGAGTTGTGCGATTTACGTCATGCTTTCCTGAGTAAGAAATAATTAACAGGAAAAGAGAGGCAACCGATAACACACAAGGCAATTGCAAGGCCCAATGAATGCGCTAGCACCGCATACATCCCTGTAATGAATGCAAGCACCATTGCTCCCACGGCAATGACAATGAGATAGTAAGCTGAGGCATAGTGCCTGAGAAACTTATCTCTATCTGAATCACCAGCCACAACGACATAAATTAACATGGCAGTGGTCGAAAATATCATGGCCATAAAATCCGTAATGACAAATGTTTTGAAAGCTGCTTTTCTGGCTAGAATTGCTGTGCCATGGTCGAGGCCTTGGCGGGCATCATAGCCGCCTGGCACGGTGAAACCAGCAGCGAATGTTGCTATTGTTATGAGCGCGGCCACTATCAAATGGGTGTCTGCTGATCTTCTAATATCTGTTAGTAGGACTTTTTCGAGGACATGATGTCTCTCTTTGGTTACAATTTCATCTTTATCTCTGCTGAATACATCTCTCCTACCCAGATTAGCACCCGCATTTGTAAAATTTCTTTTGGTGAAACCCTGCAATTTTGTGTTCTGAAGTCAGATTGGAAAAATCTAAATGATATCGTATTGAGTAGTCAAAACTGAAACCCTTGAAACGTCATTTTTCATATATTGTTAGTCTACGTCCGAAGTATATCATGGGGTAGTATGGTGCTGAAATTCATTTTGGTAACTTCTCTTCTTTGACCAAAATTATTAGAGCGTTACAGCTTTTTTATGTACATTTTGTCCCACCCAAATTCCACTTTTGTAAATTTTATTTCATCATTTTTTTACTCATTTTTTCTTAAGAAAAATGTCAACAAAATAAGTAGGAAATTTTTTTAGATCACTACACTTATTTGGAATGAAAGTGTCCGATGTTTTGTAAAATCTCAGCTCCAAAACATAGATAGCTATTTTCTGGTAACACTCTGTATGAGTGTATCAGCATCAACTAAGAGGATTAACTATATACCACAAAAACCCTTGCTTATGATTGTATGTACCATGTTGTAGAATCATTTCTAAATGGGCAAAGTTGGCATCCTTACCCACGGTTCAACACTGTTGTTGCTGCAGACTACGTCCAGAGGAGTCAAACTATCATTGTTGAAGGCCATCATGTCCGCCTTAGGGTGCTTTACAAGACCGGCCTCATAGCAAGCAGAAGCAGCAAGCAGATGAAGAGGTGTGTTCCCATCAACGTCTTTCTGATTTATAAGACTGCTCAAGGGGAAATTTTGCAAGATAAATTTGATTGCCCTCTTTTTTCCATTTTTCACCGCAATGTGAAGTATATTCTGGCCTCTGCCATCAACTATCTCCCAAGAATCCATACAGTGTGATATAAGCTCTTCAAGTACGCGTACGTGGCCTTGGCTAGCCGCCAAGTGAAGAGCTGTCTTCTTGTTGTCTTTGTCTACAATGTATGCAACTGATTTATCTGCGTTTAGTAGGTCTCTCGCTCTTAATACATAACCGAAGCGTGCAGCATAGTGAAGCGGTGTCCACCCATATGCATCTGCTTCCTTGCTTAGGGCTGGCTTCCATTGTAGTAATTTCCGTGTACATCCTAAACCAGAATCAATAAATCAAATTATTAACAAAAACAAAACAAAACAAATACTATGCTAGTAGCAACTTAGAAGAATTCTAAAATGTGTTTTCTCTTCAATCCTCTATTTAAATCCAATTGAAGAATTCTAAAATGTGTTTTAGTTAGCTACCTTCAAGGTTGTGAATGACAGCCGAATGTAGAGCAGTCCTACCACCAGGGCCACCATAGGCCGGTACTGTACAAGTCTCCAAGATAACAAACACCAATCCAACATACCCTCTCTTAGCCGCCAAGTAAAGTGGAGTTTCCTCCATATTATTAGCAGGATAACAAAACTCAGGATCTTCCTGTGTCAACAATTGGACTGTAATTGTGTGGTGATTCCTCACAGCCTCGTGTAAGGAAGTGTCTTTCGCCTCGTTGCTCATCCTCATCATGTCCTTGGTCGTCCCAACCCCGTTCTCAAGTTCCTCATCGAGCGCATTCGCGTATTCAATCAAGGCTTGAAGCTTTGGTGGATTCTGGAGTAACTCATCGTCGTGATTCGACATCGGCGTTGTGGATTCAACGTTGGGCAAGACAATTTCGAGGTGAAGATGGGCAGGAAGAGGCACATAGGGGTCGGTTCGATTCGGGCATAGATTCGCTAGGTAATTGAGAGTACACTTGTGTAATTCTTTTATGTCTTCTTAGTGAATTGTTTTGTGGCTTTTGCCCGTGATTTTTTTATCACAATTGGAGGGGCTCCAATTATGGTTTTTCCATGTAAAATCATTGTGTTGATTTGTCTTTGATTGTTTGATTGGGATTGCTATTTACTGATTAAAATTGATAAATAATCACAAATCAATATCTAAGGGATTTCTAAATTTTTCAAACTTAATAAGGTTTTGATTTGATAATTGAATGGCATAACAATTATATATATTGTTAATGTGTTGTATATGAGTATAATTGATATTTGAAAGGCTACACTAACATTATTTATTGGAGAATTGTGTTTGAAAATTTTGCAGCTATATAAAGATAAGTAGATGAATGTTGCAACGGAAAAGGCTTAATAATTATATACTTCATGCGATGGAAAAATACATTGTTGATCAACAGTTAGAATTGAGAAGTCAGAAGAGGAATTTTTGCCTCTGGACTAGTGTTAAAGCTAGATTTATTATTTGTCGAGGGAGATCTGTAAGCCCGTTAGGAAGTCACCTAAAGAGGTAACCCATTTTCTATGACTGGAGATCCCATGAAGGAAGTTGAATGGGTAAAAACAATCTATATAACGTGACTTTGATTCCAACACTCATTTTTTAGGAGACACCATATCAAGATTGATCTCTTACTCACCCCTAAGGCAGTAGTGTCGAAGAAGTGATTGGTCAGGAAGGGTTTTGCCCTGAATGAATCTATGGCAGGCAATCTCCTGCAAGATGCGTTCCGTCATTATACCTTTGAAGGGTTCTACTTTGTGGGAGTTGTCACGAGGCCACGACTTGGAGACTTGGGCTAGTCTCTAGTAACCCCATGAGAATCAAGATCTAGTGAATGGCCATTAACAACACTAATTGTGCAAACTAATGTCCAATGCCAATATTGTGTGTGTGACAAGTTGAACTCTGGCTCAAAGTGTCTAGTTCAAGATATATTTCCCTATGATCTTTTAGAGGAAAATTGTCAAACACTTTGGCCTTGTTTGGCAAACGTTATTTTTTACTTTTTGGGCTAAAATTTATAAAAAGACAAAATAAGTTAAAATAATTAATAAGATAAAATATCACAACAAATTCATAATTATTTTACTTTTTTTCTCACAAATATCATATCTAATTATAAAAAAAATCTAATTATTTTTTCAAACACAAATATTTTAATTTATTAAAATAATTAAAAATTAAAATAACTTATTAAAATAGTCAACTTCACAAATGAGGAGAATATACAATTCACAAATGAGGAGAATATACAAGGCTAGACAGATCAGGTTTTATTTATTTTTTCAATAAAGTGAAGAAAACAGACACAAAGATCAATTATGCCAGCTCTGTTGTGTAGAAAGTTCCAAGAAAATTCAACGATGACCTTGAATATAAACAAGAGCCGCCCTCAACCGTATTACTTCTCGTAGTGCTACAGTCCAAGCCAACCACAGGGCTCTTCAATTGTGGAGCCTCATAGGGCTCTTCAATTGTAGCAAGTGGAAAATTCTAAGGTAAAATAGTCAGCCTAATAATTAGTTTGGTGGAGGTTCAAAATTAGAGTTAAATTGACTAAAATGCTTAACAAGTCTGTTTTACCTATTTCATTAGAGTTGCTCTAAGTAATTAATATATATTTGTGTCCCTGTGTATTGATGCTCAATTATACATTAGGTTAAGTTTTCAGGAGAATGAAGTTATGAAAAATATGAAAAGGTTAAAATTTTAAAAAATTATTTATTTTATTTAGAGTGAAAAATATTTTCTTGTACAACTTGGGAATTTGACCCACCCCCCTCTCCCTCCCCCCAAAAAAATAGAGAAAATTAGTCTAGGGTCCCTCTCCCACTTTTCGTAATGGAAGAGATCTACAAAATTATTTTTTGATGTCTAAGGTCCTTCAACCCCAAACTCATATATCACAGAGAAATTTAAGAAGTCTCTCTCTTCTCACTCTCTGCTCTCTCTCTCTCCTACATCAACCCCAAACCCTAGCTGCTTCCTTCCTCCTCGTGAGCTTGCTCAGAGCTATCAGACCTTGTTCTTGCTCAAACACGTCTAGACCCACGAACCGTGGTCTCGACGGAGCTGTGAACAAAGACCAAATCAACGAGTTACTCCGAAAGCACCGAAACGGAATCGTAGCGGATCGAGAGCACCGAAACGAATGCTCGGTGTCAATGAGGTTGGAAACGAGTCTGATTGGACCAATGCCGGCGGAGCGAGTGTGGATGAAGAGGAGAAGGAAGAGGATGAGGTTGCTGCTATGTTTCTATGGTTGTGGGTGATTATATACATTTTACTTGGTAATTGATCTTCTAAGGTTGACAGTCAGGTCGACTTATTTTGAATAACTAAACCAGAATTCGTAGTGTAGAAACTTCGGAAAAGGTTGTGTCCCTACAGTGTTTTTGCACATGCTTTGTTTTGTTCTGTTCTCCTTTCTTTTGTGCAAACAATGCACGAATTTGAACATGCATTTCATTGAATTGATTACTTCATTAACATACATGTGATGGACCTCCTTATAAACATGAATATAATTCTGCATGTGAATCAGGTTGTGAATGGTGATGTAAGCTTTATATACTTCCACCTGTTTAGTATCAATTTAATTTTTTATGTTTTTTAAAACAGAAACAATCTCCTGCATTATAAGACCATTCTGACTATTAGGTCTGCTGCATATCATTTGCTTGCAACTTTTTATGGTTGTGAAGAAAGATTTCAATGTCAAGTGGAATTTGATGAATGAATTCTGAGAAATTTTCAACTACACCAACTTTATTAGATCTGATTTCATTGAATTTCCAAGACCTCCTCCTCTGCAGAGAAATTTCAATTTTCTCTGGGTTGAACCCAGAGAAATTCTTTGGGAAGTTCATAATTTCTCTGGGTTAGAAGTAATTTTCTTTGGGAGCTTTTTTAGAACCTTCTATCTATGACACAGTGAAAGCTTTCAACAACATTTGGTGGAGGATCAAACCCACGGCAGAGAAATTTGAAATTTCTCTGGAGTCCATGAAAGGCTAAGGAAATTTCCCTAGCAGTGCCCATGAAAGGCTAAGGAGGCCAGAGTCTGGACCAATTTTCTCTGACTTGAATTTTCTCTAGACTAATTTTCTCTGGATTGATGTTGAGGGACCTTAGACATCATGAAAATATTTAATGTCCTTTATACTACAAAATCATAATATCAGGGACCTTAAAAAAAATACTCCAAAAAAATACAATAAATTTCTAATGATACTAACTAATTATTATAATTTTTAATAAAAATTTCATTAAAAAATAAATTTTTGTGTTACTTTTTTTCTTTTGCCCCTCTTTGTTTGAATAAAAAATTCAACCATGAAAGGCTAAGGAAATTTCCCTAGCAGTGCCCATGAAAGGCTAAGGAGGCCAGAGTCTGGACCAATTTTCTCTGACTTGAATTTTCTCTAGACTAATTTTCTCTGGATTGATGTTGAGGGACCTTAGACATCATGAAAATATTTAATGTCCTTTATACTACAAAATCATAATATCAGGGACCTTAAAAAAAATACCCCAAAAAAATACAATAAATTTCTAATGATACTAACTAATTATTATAATTTTTAACAAAAATTTCATTAAAAAATAAATTTTTGTGTTACTTTTTTTCTTTTGCCCCTCTTTGTTTGAATCAAAATTTCAATAAGAGATCTATAGAATAAAGCATAAAAAGAAAGAAAAAGTACATGAAATAAAAATTAATTTTTTTCATTTTTATTTTAACCCACAAATCTACCTCAAATCTTTAATCCAAACAATTGAATCATTTTTATTGAAGAATTGAATTTTAATCAAACAATACTTGTTTTAGTATATTTTTATCTTTATGGTGTTCATTCCTAACATTTTTAATAGGTGGTGGGAAGCGTATATTTGATCTGTCAAAATCGAATGGTCTGAACCAATTCGTCATAGAATGAACGGTTTCAATGGTTTGAACAAATGGATATGGATGTATTTTTTTCCAATCCGACTAAGTTCTCAGAAGGATAGTAGATGGAAGATCACCTGATCCAACTCAATCCACCAATACTCTTAAAAAAATGAAATTATGCTTTTATGCTTTGTAAAAAAGAACACTTTTAAAAAAAAATTATATTTACTATTTAAGAAATATGAAAGCTAAACCTTTATTTTTATTATAAAAAATGAATAATAAAAAATTTTAAGTTCAAAATAGTATAGAATTACTAAAAAATAATTTTTAAAAAGGGCCTAAAACAGTAAATCCCAAATGGCAAACCAATTCGCATATCACTCACTTGTCAATTCACATAGCTCGGTCTATCCATATCCGCTAACTAAGCAAACAAATACGAATTGATTTTTTTTTTCAATTGTCTAAATTCAAACAGATAACGGATGAGAGATTACTCAACCTAACCTAATCCTCTAGCACTCTTAATAAGCAAACAAATACGAATTGATTTTTTTTCCAATTGTCTAAATTTGAATAGATAACCAATGAGAGATTACTCAACCCAACCTAATCCTCCAGCACTCTTAATTTCTAACAAAAAAATATAAAATATAAAGAAAAAAGAAGAGGGTTGACAAATCGTATTTTTGTAAATTAATATCGACTTTGCTTATACATTTATTTATTTATTTACTAGCATGTCACCCTTGCTAAGCACATGGTAAAATAATATATTACTTATTAAAAATACAATAATTATATTCAATTTTTTGTATTTTGTCTCTCG